GTCTACAAGTGCAATCAATGGCCTTTTAGAACTTTAGCTGTGCATCCTGACTGAAAGGGGTCTAGGTAATGTGGATGATTAACTGTAACATAAAATTTCCTTTTTCTGGACATGTTTGTTTCTGTAACTAGAGAATGAAAAAGGAGGACCAGATCTACCATACTTGTCCCTATATTCTCCTTTGTTCCGACATGGGGCTTATACATTTTACAAATAAACTGAAGACCTAAATTGAGATGAGTATTCATGTCAACAGCATCACCATTAAACAGATCAAGCAGCATTATGGATCCGCACTAATTTTCAAGAATCAAAATGAGGCAATTAAGAAAAGTATTTCTGGGTCATATTAGCACATTTAAATTATAAATCTTTCATTTAGCTCGTTCTTGATTTCAAACAAATAACAGAGTTTACACAGAAATAAAATAATCAAATTGCCAGCTGATGCTCACATTCATCTTGCTCAGTGTGCCTTCTGCAGAAATAAAACATTCTACCTTTATTTCTATTTCCTCCTTCCCTCTACCTATTCTGCAACCACCCATTTTATTACTCTTTCTACACACAAGTCTGCAACATCTTCTTGCTTTTGAATTGTTCTGGAATGCATCTTGATAACTTTATTTGTTTGGGTGAGCATCTGCAATTAAAGGGGTATTTAAAAGCTCTTTTTCTGCCTAGCAGTACTATTGATGTTTTACGAAAAATATCAAAAATGGGACCATAGTTCTTGATTGTTCAAAATATGGGAAAATTCAGAAGAACCACCTTACTTTTGATGAGGATAGAAAAGGGGTATTTTTAAAAGACAGAAGAAGTGAAATCAACGGTCCTGGAAATGGTTCCAATGTGACCAAAAATGTAGATAGTTCAGTAAACTATTATTATCTAGTTCCTCCTTCACCATTAATAGCTGAGCTTCTGAAGTATATTGACATAGAAGAGGCAGGCTGAACATTAAACTCAACACCAGTATTTGACACTGCATACATTTAGATCCTTTCCAGAGATGGGATCGGACTGGTGTAACTACCAGTTCGGTGATTTACGTTTTGCTTTTGGTACACTGAACTCCATTGTCTGGAACATCAAGGATTACTGCAG